TAACACCATAAGATTTTTATCTTATAGTGGTGTTGTTTTTTCTGTCAACCATGTAGATAATGTTGAGATAGAAAGCAAGCAGACAGTGGGAAACAACTTCAGTAATTTAGGTGAAAATTGTTGATGGGTGTGGACCAAGGCAGTGATTCATAACTTTAGGGTATTTCAGAATGAACTGAAAGGCTTGTTCAGACACACACTGTAGAGCCACACCCTCAGAGATTCCTATTTTTGAGGAATTTCGGTGATCTGGGAGGCCCACTAAATAATGTCATGTATGTCCCTCCCTCATTTGGAAAGAATTCATAAACTTAAAGGAAAATTAGAATAGTACCCTGAGGTTAGTCTGACACCTAAATTTTGTGGCATTAGGTCTGCAAAGCCATCTGCTCCACTCTGTGGGTATTAGCTGATATGGGTTTACTTGCTTGTTTGTTTTTCACTGTTTAGCTCAACCACAGTAACAAAATAGAAATAACGTAGATGAAAAAACGGAACCATAAATTCAATTAGCAATGATTTTAAAGTTACATATTTTATTTTAGAATCTATGATTGAACATCCATTTTCAGGATAAATAAAGCAATCTTCTGCAGCATGGAAAAACATATTTTCACTGACACCTTGATTAGATTGCTTTTCAGTGAACCAGCATTGCAGTGGAGTGTAGGGGCGGTGAGTGAAGAATCAGGCCTAATTTGCTATTAGCTTTGTTCTTAGCAAGCGCTGTGATCTTAGATACCTCCTTTAACCTCTTAGGGACTCTCCAATTCCCTATAAAATGTGCAAATTGAGTTATCCCCGAGGTCTCTCTAAGTGCTCAAATTTTTTGAGACATGGAAAAAAAATCACATTTTCTTTTCTCATTTTCTCCCCTTCATCCCTTCCTTTATTGCTGACCTGTCTTGATAATTTTCTTTTCATAAATATTTATCAATCCCACACTATGTGCAATGCTCTGTGTCAAATTCTTCTAAATAACAATAACAACAACAATAATAATAATAAATAGGAGAAAGAGAAAAGAAGAAGAAGAAGTCGTCTCCAATGGACATATAATCAAGGACTGAAGTGAAATTTATTTAGAAATACTTATCAAGCAACAAATGAGCCACATTCGGAGAAGAAAAGACTATCCTTTACCACATTGAGTAATCCTTGATCCCTTTGACTGTAGATGAATGGTATGGGTTTACTTCTGGGCTCTTCAATTCTATTCCATTCATATACTCGTATCATATTTATCCTGTGCCAGTACCACACTTTATTTATTACTGTTTCTGTGGAGTAAGCTTTGAAATCGGGAAGTGTGAGTCTTATTTGTTCTCTTTCAAGATTGTTTTGGCTTTTTTTAGGTCCCTTGCAATTCCATATGGATTTTAGAATCACTGGTCAGTTTCTAGGAAGAAGCCAGTTGGGATTCTGAAAGGGATTTTGTTAAACCTGTAGATGAATTTGGGGGTTGGGGGGAGCTCTTTTTAACGATGCATAACCATGCCTCTGATCCATGAACATGGGATGTTTTTCCGTTTATTTAGATATCCTGTAATTTCTTTCAGTAATGTTTTGTAGTTTTCAGACTGTAAGCTTTGAACTTCTTTTGTTAAATTTATTTCTAAGTATTTTACGTGTCTTGGATGCTACTGTAAATGGGGGTGTTTTATTTTATTTTAAAATTGTCTGTGATTCTTAACTCTGTACTCCTTGTATGCTTACCGAAGTTTGTATCTTATTTCCCTATACTAGTCTGTAAGTATCTTAAGGACAGTTTATGTTTGATGCATCTTTGTATCCCACAGAATGCTCAGCACAATAGTTGTTTTCCATATAAATAATAATATGAATTGCAATAATATATGATAAATAATATATGAGTTATAAGTCAATACCATAAGTTAACAAGAACCCAGAACTTGTTTCAAATAGGCTAGGAAGTCTTTTTCTTGAACATCTGTTTCTTTCTAAAATTGTTATGAATAAAATGTCAGGGACTTTTCTGATATCCAATAGGAACAAATTTTGGATGTTATACATTATTTTATCCATAACAATTAATTTGCCTGAACATGACTTATGTGATTGAATTATGTAATTCTTAGTCACCATAATAGAGTCTGGTTAAAATTATAAAGCCTGCTATAGAAGGCCAAATATTTCCTAGAATGACTAAGTCTAATAAGTGTACATGAAGGGCTGTCATTTATTATAAGTTATAAAATTTAATATCTAAAAGTATAATAGGTGATAATTGACTTTTACAATTTCTAATATCTTTAACTCTATTCTAGGGGTCCTCACAGATTCAACTTCTGTCTTTGAATAGATAGCTCCCAGGTACTCTCTGGTGTGCTTCCATGAGCTTCAGAGCCATTTAACTCAAATATCAGTTATAAAACCTCTACCCAGACATACTGGGGCACATTATGCACAACAGAGAGCTAGTTACCGTCACTTTCAGCCTGTTCCTGCTTTCCCATTCTCTGTCTTCGGTAACAGCATTTGCATTTGTCCATTCAGTCCTGAAAGCCTGGAGTTATCCTTGACACCCTTGCTTCTTCATATCATTCTTCACCAAATCCTATAAACTAGTATCTCTCCTTAACACTTGTATACGTCATTCACTCTGTAGACGTCCACTGCTATATTCTCGGCTCAGGTAGTCACCAAATACCACCAGGACCACTTCCAGAGCCTTAAGTCGGCTCCTGGTTGATCGCATTACCTCAAGTGTACATCAGTCCTCTTTATTGACACTGAGTTATTGTTCCAAAATTCAAATCTGATATTCTCTCTCTTCATTTAAAAAACCTTTTAATACTTTAAAGTGTCTTTATTTTAAGATTAAGAACAAGTTAATGATATACCCTGTTACCACTCACCCCTACTCAACATCATTTGAGTAGTCCTAGTTAATCCAATAATACAAGAAAATGAAATAAAATATATACAGATGAAATAAAACATTTTTTGTTTACAGATGACATCACCTTCTTTATGCAAAATTTTAAAAAAATCAACAAAATGACTCCTGGACCTAATAAGCAGTCATAGCAAGGTTGTAAGATACAAGATACAAAAGACAATTGCTTTTCTATATACCAGTAATGAGCAATCAGCATTTGAACTTAAAAACACATCATTTACATTAGCATCAAAAAAGGAAATGCACAGGTATAAATATAACAATATATATATAATATCTAAATGAGAAAATCTATGAAACCCTGATGAAAGAAATCAATGAAGAACTAAATAGATGGAGAGATAGTCCACGTTCACGGAAGACTCAATATTGTTAAGACATCAATTATTTCCAAGTAGATCAATGCAATTCCAGTCAAAATCCAGCAAGTCATTTTGTGGCTGTCAGCAGCCTGGTTCTAAAGTTTATGTGGATATTAAAAGACCCACAATAGCCAACACAATATTGAAAAGGGAAGTGAGGACTACTGATACTGTCCAAACTCCAGGCGTATTCTAAAGCAAGAGTAATCAAAACAGTGTGCTATTGGTGAAAGAACAGACAAATCACTAGGCGAGCTCAAAATGGACCAACACTAATATAGTCAACTGTTCTTTGAGATAAAGGATCAAAACCAATTCAATGGAGAAAGATACAGTCTTCTCAACAAATAGTGTTGGAACACACCAAAAAAAAACCTTATACTTTTCATAGAAATGGACTCAAATTGGATCATAGACCTAAATGTAAAACAAAAAACTGTAAAACTCATAGAAAATGACATAGTAAAAAAAATCCAGACCACCTTGGATTTAGTGATAACTTTTTAGATACAACATCCAGTAGTACAATCCATGAGAGAAAAAAATGAAGTTGGACTTCATTAAAATCAAAACCCTGTTACAAGAATGAAAAAACAAGCCACAGAAGGGAAGAAAATATTTGCAAAAGGACTTGCTTTCAACATATCCGAAGAACTGTTAAAACTCAACAATAACAAAAGAAATAATCCAATTAAGAGATGGGCAAAATCCCTGAACAGACAGTCACCTTACCATTCTATTCAGAGGAATATAATCAGTGATAAAAAAAAGAAATGAGCTACCAAGCCACAAAAGGACTTGGAGGTATCTGAAATGTATATTGTGTGACAGAATCCAGCCTTAAAGGGCTACGTACTGTATGAGTCCAATTATATTGCATTCTAGAAATGGAAAAATTATGGTGACATTAAAAGATCAGTTGCTAGGGGTTGGGGAGGGATGGAGGAATGCATGGTGTACGGGGTAATTTTAGAGCAGTGGAAATAACTATGTGACACTGTAATGGTGAATACATAACATACATTTGTCAAAAGCCGTAGAACTTGACAGCACAAAGAGTGAACCCTAATGTAAACTGTGAACTTAAGTTATTAATAATGTGACAATATTAATTCATGAATTAATAAAGGTACCACTCTAATGCAAGACATTAACAGTAGGAACTATGGATGGAGTGGAGGGGATATATGTGAACTCTGTTCTTTTTCTCTAGTTTTTCTGTAAACCTAAAACTGTTTCAAAAAATAAAGTCTAGTTTAAAATGTGAAATAAAATAATCAGTTAATTAAACAATAAAATAAGATTAGCATTACTTACGTTATGACTACATAATTTTCCAAATCAAGCATCCCTTGGTATGCACAGCTAGTTGCCAGGGGGGAAATAATTTTGTTCCCACAGATACTTTCCTGGGCTGGATGAGATTAAGAACTCAAGTCCTTAGTTTTGAAATCCTGAGATATTAGATTCTTTATGAAAGACTGAATTTTGCTGGCTGATATCCGCTGATGGGGGAATTCATCGTGAGAGAAAGGAATCCTGACTGGTCACCTGGACTCAACATCAGGATCAAGATGTTTGTTGGGGAAAATTTACTCTAGAAAAGAGTGTAAGGGTGGGTATAACTTTCAGATCCAAGAACCCTGCCCTTGCATCTCTCTTCGCAGATAATTTGGGGCATGTAAGTATGAATTAAATAATTATAATTTTGGTACCTGAGGCCTGTGCATGGTTGGAGCTGGTACGAGCATCTGGACCAACAAGAACATCAGACTACCTTGTGCAGGTTTTCTGTATTGATACCCTGTAGCTGGGACAGAAATCAAAAACAGAAAGAAAAAGCATGAGCCAGAAGCTGTGGATGGATCAGAGAGCCCTGTTTTCTCTACAGGGTAAATGGAAGTCAACATTGTCTGTTTGCACTGAATCAACTCTCTCTATTCTCAGACAATTCAGAAGATGGAAAGGAGAGATTTCTGTGAATCAAGCAAGTGAGGATAGAACGTGTTAAATCGGTAAAAATGGGGAAGATATGACATTACGAGTCCCTCAGTTGGCTGAGGCACGCCATGCCTGTTTAGATGGCAAACTGCTGTGATCACATTACAACAAAGAAATGACATAACAGATTCTGACCTTCCTAATGGACTTTAACATACCCTTTTAGGTGATCACACAAGAGTCTAAAGGTACATGGATCACTGTGATTCATGATTTCAAATGTACTGCTGGGGTAAGATGACAGATGGAAGCACATTAAAATGAACTAAAAATGGGTACCTAAAACCTTGCAAAAGGATAAAACAGAAGATCAAACTAAGGAAAAGGCACTTCTTGATGCAAAAAATCATTGAAAACCGGCAGCCTGAGCAGGAGAAAAACCTCTCAAGAACCCACATGACTAACAGCATCTCCTAAAACAACACCCCTCCACAAATAATAATAATATAGGTGGTTAGTGGGCTGAATTGTGGCACCCCAAACGATAGGTGTGCCTGGAACCTATGAATGTGCCTTATTTGGAAAAAGGGTCTTTGCAGATGTCATTAAGAATCTTCAGATGAGAACCTCCTGGATTAGGTGGGCCCTGAATCCAACAAGTGTCCCCAGAGGTGACGCGGAGGAGAAGAGACGCAGAGAAAAAGGCTATTGTGAGGACCAGCCATTGTGATGCAGCTACGAGCTCAGGAACGCCAAAGGGGGCGGGGCCGGCAGCCTCCCAAAGCCACGCGAGAGGCACGGGGCCTGCCAACACCTTGACTTCAGACTTGGCCTCCAGAGCGGTGAGAGAACAGTATTTACTTGGCTTTTTTTTTTTTTTTCAGTAAGCCTTTATCTTTGTTCTACCTGTGAACACTCCACCTCAGCTCAATACAATATTTAAATATAGTCAGTTTCGTGCTTGGCCCACCATATTCTCTTGTTAATACAACCCTATGGGTCCTATAGCTGAAAGTGATATATAGTGTTCAGGCCAACAGCATGGTAGTTAGAAGGCAGAGTATATAAGCGCTGGTGATTACGAATTTATATCTGGCACTTTGTTAATTGCTAATTGCCACAATTGTTAGATAGCATATACCATTACCATATATTAACCTTAAGACTGATGAGTGATTAAAATCTCTTAAAATGATCAATGTGCATACGTTGGCTGGTTTGTAATCAGTTTTTCCAGATCTCTGTAGATTCTCAACTTCTGTTCCTTAATGGTTCAGTTAAACATGTAAAGCATCTGCCGATTAGAATCTGCCAATTCAGAGATTAATATTCGTCTCTTCTCTTCTCTTCTCTTCTCTTCTCTTCTCTTCTCTTCTCTTCTCTTCTCTTCTTTTCTCTTCTCTTCCCTCCCTGTCTATGAACTCTAGTGACTGAAGGGAGAATTACAATTTTAATAGGTCTCTGATGAATGAGTGACTGTTAAGGAGGCAACAATGAAAAGATACAGAGGACCGCAGTCGGGCACGGAGTCGAGGGTTTCCAATGCACTTTTGCATGCATTTATGAAATGCCTGTTAGTGGTTATCTGCAGGCTGTTAGATATTGAACACGAGTATACAAAAGGCCAGTCTACCAGACTGGGTCCCAGTCCTGTGAAGGTCACAGTTTGAAGGACAGATAGACTCTTAAATAAAGATTTTCAACACAATGGGATAGTGCTGATATTATAGTGAAAAATGTTTAAATAAAGCAATCAATTTAGTATGGGAGTTTGGGAGCTGCATTTAAAAGTCAACGACCACTGTGCTTTGAGCTTAGGTGGAGATTTGAGTGTAGTTAAGCTGTGATCAGATCTTGGAACATCTTAGCTGCCAAACTTAGGAATGTGAATTTGATTTTCTAGGAATAGGTAATGGAAGACATTGAAGGTTTTGTTTGTTTGTTTGTTTTGTTTTTATTTTTTATTTTTATTTTTTTTTTTAAGATTTTTATTGGGGAATTGGGGGATGGGAACAGTGCTGGGGAATTGGGGAAAGGGGAACAGACAAGTTGCTGTCGTTTTGTTCTTCAGTCTAGTTGTGGAGGACGTTGCTTCACTGGCCCAAGTTGACACCATCATTGCGCTCTTCTCTGGCGAGGCAGATCAGTCGCCGGCTTCTGGACGGCCGCTCACTGCGGCTGCTGGCCGCTCACGCTGGCTGCTGGCCACACACGGTAGCCCATGGCAACCCACTGCCACAGGGACTGCAGCCCACGCCGTCGCCGGCGACTCATGGCAGCCCAGCTCCAGGTTGAGCTGTTGTTCAGCATCTTAGCTGTGGAGGGCAGTGTCACTGGCCCTCACATGTGGGATCCGAACCGGGGCCCTCTGGCGTCCCAAGCGAGTTCTCAACCATCGCGCCACTCGGCCGGCCCTGTTTGTTTTGTTTTTAACTTCAGAGTGAGATCTGGGCTTCAGAAAGATAACTCACATGGCTCTTATCAAATAAATTGGGGGTAGGAAGCTTTCAGAAAGATGGATGATTTCAGCATTCAGAGTTTAGCTTTCAGAGTTTGCATATGGCCGTTGATGTCCTCTGAAAATCTGGGAGTGTGTGACTAGTGCCATTGTCATTCAATCAATAATGTTTTGAAAATAGGAAAATGCAATGGAAAAACTGAAGATGGGTAAAATGTAGTTCCTGCATGAGGAACAAGTAAACAAAGAGCAGCAAAAACTAGGCGAGTGGATGGAGTGTGTAAAGCAAGGTCTGCAAGAGAGAATGGGGCTGAAATGGTCCCGAGCAGCTGGAGAGAAGAGGCTTCTGTAAGTGGGGGCAGTGAGGGGACGCTGCAGCCCCAGCAGGATTACGAAGTCTGTCCTCCTGAAGAAGACAGGCCGCTCCAGAATTCCCGTTTCTACAGGCGCCTGTTATTAATGACGTGGTTTCCTCATACCTGTCCAGGCTTCTGTTAAGTCAGTGCATTTGTCCTGGAGGACAGTGGTGTTTATAATACTCCCATCTCTTAATACCTATTTTGTGAGAATTACTATATATTGGTAATTTTTACATTAGTTTTGAACCCAGATATCGTAAGTTTAACAGAATTTGGCTTCTTTACCATGTGTATATAAAGGTCGATCTCAGCCAGGAAACCAATCAAGACGTTGCTGACCTCATACATCACATGATGATAATTTGTGTGCTTCCGTTGTTTTCAGTGAATGGTGATTATCTGTGTAGGGTATTAATTCAATGACCATCACTGGTGTTGCGGATGATGAGCTTAGAAACGTAGTTTACAGACATAAAAGTTTCTGTACACTATGAAGACCACAGACACTTTTTTTTTTTTTTTTTTTAGCTGAGCCATCCTGCCACCTGTTGGCAGCTCAGCTCGGGCCGGGACTCGAACCGCTGTTGCTCAGAGCTCACACTCTTGAGTGAGCTCTTAACCAACTGAGCCACTGGCCGGCCTCACAGATATGTTTTAATTTGACCATAATTTATAATGAACGTATTTGTCATGACCCAATGGACCCTGGGAATATTGCTCGCTATGTGACATTGGATAAATTACTTAATCTTTTAATGCTTTAGTTTCCTTATTTCTAAAATGGGGATAAAATGAGAACCCACACTTCATGAGGTTCTTATAAGGTATAATGAATTAATATATGTAAAGCTCATGAAACAATACCTGGGACTTAGTAAACATTCAAAAAGTAATGGCTCTTCTAATATTTTTCATGTTAGAAATAATATGTCTCCAACAATACCTTCTAAGCTTCCTATTCCACATCCTTAAAAACAGCAGCAAACAAAAACCTGTACTATTTTTGAATGGCTATACATTGCTTGATTTATGAGAGTAAAATTCTATTTAAATTTGAATGCATGCAAGATGATTTTACGTTTATAGAACTTAGAAGCATATCCTCAGTAACTGTGGTTTTCCAATTTTTATCTTTCCATAAAATGTTTAAAAAATAAATCCTACGCCAAACTCCTATGAGGCCCCAAGCCTTGACTATTGTGCATCCTCTTATGCCCGTTTCTAACTGGCCCTTGAGAAAACCACCACTCAGGTTCAATGTTCTCATTTCCCCGCTGCGGAAATTCCAGGAGGAGCTGCATCGTGTCAGCAGAGCCACAGGATGACGCAGGTCTGGGAATGAAAACGTTGGGGTCAGAGTCCCAGCTTTGCCACTTTAACCTGAGACTTTGGACAAATCAATTAGCTGCTGGAGGCCCTTAAAAAATTCAGTGTTCATAACATTAGAATGAGGACTTGCATAATCTCTAGGCTCATTCCTGCTGAATAATTATTGAATGCCCTTAGCAGAAATATTAGGATGCAGACATCCACCCTTCTGTTTCAATGTTCTCGCCATTGCACAGATGTAGGATTATAGTCTATTTACAATAAACAGGTGATAACCTAGACGGAACTTTTCTATAAACCTCGTAACAACATTCCTACACACCCAGAGTGAGGCAGGCACCACTCCTTCACCTGTGGCACTATGCCAACTACAGCTATGCTGTCTGCTGTCAACAGTTCTTCAGTGTCTATATTTAACGTGAACATTGATATTTGAGGAAATCTGCCAATTGCTGAATCATATATTTCTAAAACACTGCTTCCTACCCCCAAGCATATATAATCATACCTTGATTAACACAAATGAATTAAAAAAACCCAAGGAGTGTATCTAGGGTGTATTGGTAAAGCTGGAAAGGCCCCCCATGGATAGGAAATATGTATTCACCTCCAGAAAAAGGCCTCCAAAGCATATGGAACTTTGCACAGGATAGAGAATGGGTTTAACAATTAAAATTTATTCATTATCCTTTTTGTGGCATCCTCTTTTGTTCTATAGTCACAACACTATACATGTTGCTAATGCTTTTTGCTGATTAATTTTTCTTAAATTGAGACTTATCAAAGAAATTCTATAGTGGCATTTTCACAAGTGGAAACACAAGTTTTCTAACTCTTCAGCATAAAAAGCATTTTAGGGGCACTTACATGATATTATTTTGAAACAGCATATTAAATAATATAGTCATTTTCAGTGTTATTTTTAGACTGTTCTTTACTTTATACCTGGAGTGTTCTCTGCAGTGGATGACCATCAATTTTAATTATTGAAGTCTTTAACTTGCTATTTCTGCTATTGTTTATGTACTGTGGACACACACACTATAAACCATGTTATTTTATGAGTGTAAGTTAAATGAGAAGCTAAGTGACCATAAATCTCATTAGAACTGCTCTACTTGGGTTACTCTTGGTCATAGGAAGGACTGGGGAATTAACATCATCACATTTTGGTCACCTCAGAGCTTTGATTAATTTATTATAGTAGTGATTTAATAGTACTATATAGTCACCTTAGATTTCTAGCATAAAAGTTAGTAGGAAATATGTTTTGGCTATTAAATTGCTGTATTAAGTATCTCCTGTTTCTTGAATATCAGAGCATTTTATGTGTGTGTGTGTGTGTGTGTGTGTGTGTGTGTGTGTGTGTTATAAAAAAGAATAAGTGCTAACGCCAAAAATCTTTAGCTACTCTTCCCCCACCACCTTGCTAACTTACAAAGTTGGGCTGGAGATGACGGAAAGACAAGGAAAACAGGGTTTGATAAGGATATGCTGCTGTTAGTCTTTGCAAAGAGGTGATATCTTCTCAAAACCTGTCCGTTGAGGATGAATTCTCAGAAATTGAGAAAGCCAAACTGTTAGACAGGGCAAGCACAGTCGCATGCACAAATATGTGCTTGAGTTTGGTATGTGCTTTCTTTCTCCTAGCTTTTCGGTAGAAGATTGAGAACACGATTATGAGTTTGTAGTTGATTCATGTATCAGGTGTGTCCCAGACTATTCCAAACGGAAGACTGCCGGCTCACCTAATAACATGCTCTCCAGATTGGAGTCAGCACCTTGTTTCAGCTGGGCTTGCCTCAGCCTTACATTTCCACTGAGCAGAACTCTTACAAACTCCTGGTTCGTCCCTTCTGGCTCATCTGTATGTCTCACATGATTTACATCTACCTCCTCACACTGTTTCTCAGTAATTGACATCTACCCACCACCTAATTTGATTCTCCAGGCAAAGGAGATAAGCATCACAGTCAGTAAAACAGTATGAACACTTCCCGGAGGTGTGCTAATCGTCATAGGCAAAGTTGAAATCATGCCCAACAATCCAACTTGCGTTGTTTACTGCACTTGGGGCTAATCCCTTATCTGGGCATTTGGGAGGCGTGATCGGCCTCCGTCTGCCTCTCTAGCCTAACTGCCACTCTACTTTGCCCTTGACCCTCCTTGCAGCACAGCCACATGAGACTACTTACTGTTTTACAGATGAGCACCACACTTTCGTACCGCCGTGCTTTTGCTCTGTGCTCTTTCATTTTGGAATTTCCTTTTTCCCCTGTCTTTTCCCCAAATATTCACTTGCTCAAATTTAAGTCCCCTTTGAGATCGAGCTCAGGTTATACTTCATTCATAAGATCAGTCAAAAGTAACCTTTATAGTATTTTATCTTGACTACTATCAAGGCAGTTATCAGTCTATTTTTGCATAAAATATGAATATGTACATTCAATAAATTTTTTAAGTAGACACATCAATAAGCCAACAAAAAGGATTGTAAGCTATGTCAAGTGGACAGGGTTCAGCATTTAGAAATTATACATATATATATATATAGATAGATAGATAGATAGATTTTTTTTTGAGGGAGGTTTTTTTGCCTAGAACTTATACTCTCAACTCTTTTATTAAACTTTGTTGACTGAAAGTTTTCAATCAAGTTCACACTCCTTAGATGGCCGACTTGGTATAGTAGAAAAAGCATGGGCTTTGTAACTGGGCAAACCTGTTTGTATGCTAGCTCTGTCGATCATTAATTTTCCCATTTAGTCTATTTGTGAATATGCTTTGGGATTATAGGGTGTCATGATAGTGGTGATGGTTGTTGTGTTAGGTGCTCTTTGCACCGTCATTCTAGGAAGAGGACATTTCTGGAAATGTGACAGATTTTTTTTTTTTTTAAACAGGAGGAGGAAAAACTCTCTCCTCTCTTTGGGGCCAGAAATACATGGCTGTAAAAATCTCAGGAAAGGACTAGAGCTGTTTCAATGCTAAAGGTGAACTCCCCCTGCCCATCTGGAGGCAGGGCAGGCGCAAGCCACAGATGTTCATTGGTAAAAGTAGCTGTGTCAGAAGAGGGGCGGTTTTAGAGCAGCCAGAATCCAGGGTGTCAGTTATGAAACCCTTCAGGCTGGAGAAGGTTTATCAGCGAGCATGCTTTCAAGACAAATATTGGAAAACTGAACATAAGAGAACTGACACACTAAACAGCGCTTGCTGGCTTACCTCAGTGAGAAGTCCGGCAGTTGAGTGCCTCCAATTCTCTTTCTTTACAATTCTCCTCACCCTGCATTTCTCCACGTGTCATTTGGCTTCATGCTGTGGCTTTCCAGTAGCAACCAGAGTTTCTTGCTTCTGTCAGATCTAGGAGAATGATCATTGTCTTGTCTATAAGTAAGGAATCAAGTTCCAGGCCAAGCTCTGACTGGATCGCCTAGGAAGCAATCCTTATGGCAGTAGAACACCAAGGCCCTGATTGCTTTAGACTTCGGCTGTTTGACAAATTGCTCTGGCAGGGGAGATGGGATCACCGTCACCGACTTAGTGTCTAAGCATTAGACAATCAAAGTCCAACCGGGAGGTGAGA